GTAGGAAACATTACAAATATTTGTTAGGCCTATTAAAAAAAATACATTTCTGATAAGCCCCACACCCTATCAATTATGTGGCCAAGGTCCCACAAACAGACAATGTACATGTGTTTGTAGGACAATGTGTGTATTTGTGACAAACGTGCATTCTAGCCCTGTTCAGACGGATCAGTTTGACAATGGAGGAATTATTTTGGTTTGACTGACAGTCTGGAAAGGCCTAATACAAATAATTATTACACCAATTAAGATGTAACTGACAAATACAGGTATTGAACATCAACATCAACAAAAAAAAAATATTTTGTATTGAAATACCTAATGGGTTTTTTTTCTAATGTGTGTTTGACATTTTAGTACAGTAATTTGAAAATTGTACATTACACATTGTATCATTTTTATATTCTGTACCGTCCATATTACCTATATCAAAATGCACGTGATAAATTGGTGTCATTTGGCCATACTGTTGCATGATGTTTTCATATCTCACATTTATTTTCAAATCAAAATTATTATTTGGTAGTGTTTACAGAGCTTTAGACAATCATTTTGACCGTAAATTTATTGCCAACTCAGACAATGTATTCATCGTGGGAGACAGTCTTGCCCGACCCGACAACAAATCGCGTCGGGCTGTCATATACGACGCTGTCTGAATGAGTTGGCCTTAGCGTTAAGGCCGTTTTCCAAGGCAGATTTATTCGTGCGAATTGAACAGGCCCGTAGCAAGGGGGGNNNNGGTTATGGTTCGGGCGAACCCCCCTTTTCTAGCGAACCCCCTCGAATTTTTGAATGAGTCCCACTCGGACGGAATGTCTGTTTTTAACTTACCCAGCATTAAATCAAAATTTAGCACCTAATTAATTATTTGGTCACCCGTTTTTAAATTGTAGCCTGCGATACAAGCCTACATTCATAGAATATCTCAGCTTCAGAAGTTCGGAGATTTAAATTGAACGCCCGGCAAACCATACGATAGCTCACATAAGAATGGCAAACATCCGTTCGATAAAAACTTTCACTGGCCTTTGGCTGAATGTTTGTAAGAAATGTACCAACCCGGTTTTGATTGTGGATTGTGTGGTTAGTAAATTCCATAGCCATACTGTCCATAGCGCACACTAAACTATTTGCTAATGGAGCATTTTTTGGGGAAATTGACTCTCCTTTTTCCCATCTCAAACAGCATACTATTAATAAATCAACATGGTCCATCTCAGTCATCATAGCGAGTCACAAAATTAGGAAGTTTGTTTTCAACAGCAGACACACACAACAGGAGTGCGTCAAAATCTTAAAAATACGTACTGGCATCGACAATTGATTTTATGTGCATTATTTATCTACAGTTTTATCTTCAATTCTTATCTACAGTATATACACTAGAGAATATTTACACCCACAATAAAAAAAAAAACAAATTATCAGCCTGCTGCTCTCTGCCTAAATAGTGATCGTAACTGAACAATAATGATGCAGCAACACGCTTGGTCAACTTGTAAACATTTAGAGCATTCTGTTGTTTTCCCATAAAACAAATTTTGGAGTGTTATACAGTAAGATTTCAAAACATTGTCATTGTAAAGAAACAGCTATAATATTGAAAACAAACAACTTGAAACAAAATCGGTGTACGGATTTAAATAAATATTTACAATAAATATTATCAAATTTTACGATCAATTTGTACATTACATTTGTGAGTGACGACATGCAAAACAAACATTAGCGGTAGCTGTATCATATCTTTGAATATCATTTTAGACTGATTCATTCATATGCTTGGTCATCTTGTAATCATTTAGAATTCAACAGTTTTTAATAATAGGGTCCATATCTCCACACTTCTAGACGTAGTATCAAATTATAGTTGCCATAGACCCGGTTTCATAGACACTCGCTTAAGTAAATTTCAAAGGAAACTGTTTTCCCAATTTTTCTTATTGTTAAATACTCCTATGCAATACTGTAGGACCCTGGTATAGAATTGACAGATCAATTAGACACTCTGTAAAGATCGATTATGCCCTTTTCTGGACCCCATTGGAAATAAGTCTGGTGTACAATCACTAGACTTAATGGGTTATCCAGGCATTCAATTTTTATTCATCTGCTTTTTTATGTTCGTTCTCAAAATGTTATTGTTATGTGTGTGATATTGAATGCAAAATAAATCAAATCAAAAATCAAATTTATATAATAAGGCCATAGGCCTAATGTGTGTGAAGTACTGACTTTGTTAATATCGAATGGGTGAAATTGCGCGCAAACTTCAAACTCTTGGCCTAACATACAATGCCAGAGGAAAGGATATCACGTTTTAATCACCAAAAAGGATTTTCCACGGACGCACAGAGTAGGCCTTCTAATTGTATGGCCCAAAGCGAACGGGTTTCTGGTCTCGAAAATCCAGACACTTCGTTAAGGCTTATACAGTACAAAATATTGTACAGTATTCATTAAAAAAGCTTTAAAATGGCCTTTAGGCCTATACTGATATTTTGCGAATCTTGGGTTTTTCAAAGCAATTTTGGGATTTTTTAGACCCAATCTTGAATTTTGATTTTCCCTAGTGGTCACGCTGCATTTAGAGACAGAACTATACCCCGACGACATCAAACTAGTGTAGGTCTAGGCTTATAAGTACAGTAGAACGTACTACTAGGCCTAGGCTTTTGTTGTAAAGGTGGAAGTGCATTTACAGGATGCGCCATAGGCCTATATTTAAAAAAAAAATATATATATATTTTGTTAATTATTATTGGTTTGCCTGGGACATAGGCAGGCAGGCCAGCTTTGCCGTCGAAAGGATTCGACGATGACGTCAGTGCACATGTTTACAAACGCCATTGATTGGAATGAAAATAGACGCGCTGAATTTCGTTTGTATTATGAAAGATAGTATTTATCGAACATTATCTATATAAAAACAAGATTAATATTTGTGTAAATTGTATTTCTAAAGATTCATATATAATTCATATTTTATTTGGTAGACAATAAATATTCAGTAAGATATGAAAACGATTATTAATTCTGAAATGTTCATCAAATCTCAGCTTAGGTTAAAGTCTTAAAACAATAATTTCGGATTAGGCCTAGTAAACAAATAATGGTAATTAAAGTTTAGGTTCCCATGATGTCAGATGACGTATTCAATATGATGCTATATTTTGGGCTCTGACTTAATTTAACGATGGCCCTCTCAGTTGTAGTAATGACAATATTTGTGCTTTTTTAGCCATGTAGTAAAAGTACTATTATTTTCAGTGTACAAGATGAGAGTCAAGAAGAAGTTCAGCTCCTACTTTATTTTGTAACAGGCAACTCTATTTGTTTATATAGGCCTACTGGGAGATTCATTATTTAAGTTAAAACAAGAAAAACACTTCTTAAAAGTTTTATATATTATAAATAATAAGTACATAATTGTTTGTAAATTACTTTATAGGCCTATATAATAGCTTGTTTTATTTTATAATAATAAATGTGTTGAGTATATTTATATTGATTATGCGATGAGGTTTTTTTTTTTGTCTTTCGGTGTGATTAAAACATGCCAATTCTCAGAAAACATTTTCCAATTTTATTATATTACCACCTTTTATTACATAGATCTTTTTCAAAACATAACTGCTTTTATAACATTATATAGACCCATTAAACACAAAAACTGCTCCCACCGGGGCCCTTAGGCAGTCCCCTGGACCCCATGCCCAGAGAACCCCACCCCTTGAAATGACCTGGCTACGGGCCTGTCGAAAATTTGTACCTGTACGCATGCGCATTTGAGGTGATGACAATTAAACAGCGAATGCGTATATGCGAAAATGTTTAATTTGCGTGAATGAATTCGTCTAGTGCAAGATGTCCTTTAGGCCTGTTTTCCACAAGGCGAATCTAATCGCGCGAATCCAACGAGTGTGTTCATACGCCATACGCATGCGCATTCACATTTCATTTCTATAACAAATGCGTAATCAAAGAGAAGATTTGATACGAGCGAACAAATTCGCTTTTTGGAAAACAGGCTTCTGTCTGCAATACCAGTTTATTGAAGGACTTTTTAAAAATTATAGGCCCTAATAATAAAAGTGCGTACTGTAATTGAATCATTGTATGTTCTTGATTATAGTGTGGTATCCCAATGACCCTAATGGCTTCAATGACGAGAACTGTGTGGCTGTATATAACAGGCAATTCCAATGGGTTGATATGGCATGTACAGAGAAAAATCAAGTTGTGTGTGAGAAAGGTAATTATTTTATAAATTTTAATAGATCCCGGATCTGAATCCCGACGAGAAATACTTTCCTAAAAATTACTAGCATGCCTGTCTTTATGTCTTCCAAATAAATGCACATAACTGTGTTCATCAAATAACTGTAAACTTGTGCAGGAAATCAAAAATTATACATAAATTTAATTTGTTAGAGAGAAAATCTTATCCATATTTTTAGTGGCGATATGTTGTCATTGGTGTCAATATTCTAGTCGCACTAACATCTATTTTCATTTTTAAACCTAAGAATTGGAATTGAAACAAATTTTGAAAGAATAAAGGGAGAAGGAATAATAGCAAAATAAAAATATATACAAAAAATCAACAATAATAATAAAAAAAAATAAAAAAAAATAATAGGCACTAATCATCAGAGGTCAAGGTGCAAACACATTTTACATTCGACATCGAATCAAAGACAACTTAACCACAAAGTTTGCAAATGTTAATAATTGTAATTTGCTTAGAATTTTGTTGCTTGCAGTCAAAAAAACTTAATTTTACGATTACTATTGGAACGGATTTTTTTTTTCTTGTTTTTTTTTTTTCTAGATTTTGAAATTTCGTCTGTCGTCAGCGACAATATTTACTACTATTTATCCGGAAACATGACGTTTTCTGAGGCACACATAGCGTGTAAGAATATAGGTGCCGATTTGCCGGTCATCACAAGCAAAGAAAAAAACGATGCATTCCATTTTACTGATTTTTCGTTTTGGTTGGCATTGAACGATAACGACACAGATAGCAATTACGTTTGGTCCACACGTATTGGGGACTATCCAGTAAAGGAACATGATTTTACGGGTAAGAATGGACCTTTCAACTAAGTCCCTTCCCGCTTTGGACATTGTTGCGCTAGTGTACCTGTCAATAGCGTACCTGTCGTAAATGTGTGTGTTTGTTCATGCATGGAGGTATTATTGAGAAGGAGATCACTCGGCAAAGCTACGCGCACGCAGCGCTATGCAAATGAACCAAGATCAAAGTTGCCGCAGCGCGTAAAGAACGTTTGTGCGAGCCTTTGAAGTCCCATGTGTTCCCCGCCATCAAATTTTCAACAGGCATAGTTGACCAAAAAATTGAACATGACGAAATGGAGAGCACCTTTTTTTCTCAATGCGCACTACATACTGTCTATCACTATGGCTGCGCAATATTTTCTATTTTGAAGCTGATACATCTATCTCTCATAAAACATATTAATATTTTCCACCAAGAAAAGTTTCAAATTTAATGGAACATTTACATGACCTATAAAAATATAGTAAATTTCAACTTCAATTTTCATAAATTGGTCAAAATTCGCCAATTCTAATTTTAACAGATATTAATTAATAAATGATTAAGGATTACAATAAACTAAGTTATTTTAGGGTTAACGAGGGTTAACTATTCGAAAAATGGAATCCAAAATCTGAGTATTTTTCAGTTTTACGCTGACTTAGCTTTATAGTCGAACCAGTCATTCTTTAGACAAAATTATAATGAACACAGAAGTAATTTTAACATAAATATTTTACGGAATCCGTTCCTGAAATATACAAATAATAACATACCAAAAGCCCGAAAAAATCTAATCAGGGGAACATTGTTCATTATAAAGATATTTAATGGGTTAAAATCAAATGTTTTATTGCACAACTGCTCTGCTGGAAGCGTATAAATGCATGTCTTTGCCAAGTTGTTGCTAACGAAAAAATGTTAATTATAGGGTAATACGCCCGTGCGCGATCCAAAAGCGGGAAACACATAGGTTTGTCGTGTCAAAGGGATCTGTTGCCGAGTGATCTCCTTGGTTTTGTTGGACATGCAAGTATTTTCAGCACTGTTCTGATTGACACTCTGGAATTAACCTTTATGTTTAGCTTTACTCATCATCAGCATCATCATCATCATCATCATCATCATCATCATCATCATCATCATCATCATCATCATCATCATCATCATCAGCAGCAGCAGCAGCAGCATCAGCATCATCATCATCATCATCATCATTATCATTATCATCATCATCATCATCATTCAGTGCTATATCATGTGAACTAGCCATCGGATTGTAGGAGCACTTCTGATGTCATGTTCACAATGTTTATTCACTTTGTGCCTGACTTCTGTTGCTTTTAACCGCTTTTGTCTATTTAGTGATTTATTGTTTCCGATTTTCATCTACACAGCCATGCAAAATTGCATTGCTTACTGTACACTATTCATGTCAACATGTGCTCAAATCAAATACTTGTAATGGCCGAGTCGAGTGGCCAAGGCAAGGGCGCCGCAAACGAAAGCCTTAAAAAACCCGACGCATTCCATTTTACTGATTTTTCGTTTTGCTTGGCATTGAACGATAAAGACGTGATAGCAATTACGTTTGGTCCACTCGTATTGGAGACTATCCATTAAATGAACATGCTTTTACAGCTAAGAAATAAACTTTTCCACTAGCCACCGGATATCTGGGTTCCAGTCCCTAAACTTTGTCTTAATCGGTGAAAGAGCTGGAAAATCGATTTTGGCACTAATGGCGTTCCATATTACCTATTTGCTTGGTGTTTCATAGTCATAGAGATATAATAAGAATACTAGAGCGCTAACCGCAATGTATTCGATGTTCGAAATACGCAGAACTGTGTGTGTGTACCATCCAAGATGGCTGCCATAGATTTAGCCAATCGAATTTCGCTAAGCACCATCGTTTGAAATTGCGCCCTCAATTTACTCAGAAAGTTCAGTACAGCTAGTTACACTTATATTTGAAACTCGAGCGTTGCGGTGTTTGGGTGTAATGTACATGATTTTAATTTTCATTCCTCGGTACTTTGCTTTTGAATAAGATGCTCCACTTGGCCTCGTTTTGGCTACAATAATTTAATAATTTGTTATTACCATTACTCATTATCATTAATGAAATAATAGTCAGTCAGAGGGCTTATTAATA